AGTTGGTCTTCTGTCCCTCAGTTGGTCGTCTGTCCCTCAGTTGGTCTTCTGTCCCTCAGTTGGTCGTCTGTCCCTCAGTTGGTCTTCTGTCCCTCAGCTGGTCTTCTGTCCCTCAGCTGGTCTTCTGTCCCTGTTGATCTTCTGTCCCCCAGTTGGTCTTCTGTCCCTCAGTTGGTCTTCTGTCCCTCAGTTGATCTTCTGTCCCTCGGTTGGTCTTCTGTCCCTCGGTTGGTCTTCTGTCCCTCAGTTGGTCTTCTGTCCCTCGGTTGGTCTTCTGTCCCTCAGTTGGTCGTCTGTCCCTCAGTTGGTCTTCTGTCCCTCAGTTGGTCTTCTGTCCCTCGGATGGTCTTCTGTCCCTCAGTTGGTCGTCTGTCCCTCAGTTGGTCTTCTGTCCCTCGGTTGGTCTTCTGTCCCTCAGTTGGTCTTCTGTCCCTCGGTTGGTCTTCTGTCCCTCGGCTGGTCTTCTGTCCCTCAGTTGGTCTTCTGTCCCTCAGTTGGTCTTCTGTCCCTTGGTTGGTCTTCTTTCTGTCCCTCGGATGGTCTTCTGTCCCTCGGTTGGTCTTCTTTCCCTCGGTTGGTCTTCTGTCCCTCAGTTGGTCTTCTGTCCCTCGGTTGATCTTCTGTCCCTCAGTTGGTCTTCTGTCCCTCGGTTGGTCTTCTGTCCCTCAGCTGGTCTTCTGTCCCTCAGTTGATCTTCTGTCCCTCAGCTGGTCTTCTGTCCCTCAGTTGGTCTTCTGTCCCTCAGTTGGTCTTCTGTCCCTTGGTTGGTCTTCTTTCTGTCCCTCAGTTGGTCTTCTGTCCCTCAGTTGGTCTTCTGTCCCTTGGTTGGTCTTCTTTCTGTCCCTCAGTTGGTCTTCTGTCCCTCAGTTGGTCTTCTGTCCCTCGGATGGTCTTCTGTCCCGGGTCAAGAGGTTCTTTGATCCGGCTCAGTTTTCAGGCAGGATCTGGTCTCAGGTGAGTTTTTGTCTCGTTTTATCAGAACTAAAATCAAACTTTGTGAGGATAAATAAATTTACATCAAACCAGAACCAGTGGGTTTTCAGCCGGTTCTGATAAGTTCTTGGGTTCGATTGGATCCTGAAGTCCTGCTGATGAAACCTACAGARGTCCTGTTTAGATTCTTGAATCAGTTCTTACCTTCTGCTGAGGTTCTGTTGAGGTTCTGCTGAGGTTCTGTTGGTTCTGCGGAGGTTCTGCTGGTTCCTGATGGGCTGGTGTGTCAGAACTGAAGAGTTTCTGTTTGGACCAGAATATTCTCAGGTCTGAGGTCGATGAACCCGTGTCGGCCCGCCTCCACACACATCAGTATCGACAGGCAGTCCCAGTTTCAGGAGCAGAACCGTGAACCGGACTGGTATCAGACCCTACAAAGATCAGGTCCGGGTCTTCAGAGGACCCTCAGAGACGGTCCAGAGGACAGAGTTCTGAATGGAGACAAGGTGTCCCGGTGTCTCTGACGGTTTGTGGACTTCAGACTGTTGATAGTCCATGTTTGCTCTCATCTGGTCCAGATCTGTAAGACTGGACCGGACAGAACTATGACCCAGAACTGGTTCTGTAAACAGGTTTGAATAAATCTGGCTCCTGCTGGTTTTGGTTCTTTAGAACCGGTCCACCTCAGTGGTTCTGGACCTGGGTTTTCAGGTCAACACATGGCTCATGTTTCACTGGGACTGTAACAGAACCACCTTTATGGTCCAGGTGGTTCAGTTTGGACCAAGCAGAGGACCAGAACAGAATCCTGGATCAGAGGCAGGCGTTCTGTTCTGACCCGTCAGCACTGATCCATGCTGGGAAATTTCAGGAAACACAACAAAACACAACAAAACACAACAAAACAAAACAAAACAAATCAAATGAAAGGCAGCAGAAGAAGAAAAAGATCTGATATCTGCTCCTTTTTACAAAAAAATTATTTTCATTTCAAACAATAATCAACCAAATAAAACAAAAATAAAAACTCAACTCCTCAGACAGTAACTAACACAAATTAAACAATTTCATATTTATTTAACAGTTTTTCATTGATCATTTTCTTAAAGTAATTAACTGATCTGATGCTCTTACAGTCATTCATGGTCTTATAACTTTCACTGAACTGCATCTGTCCTTCAGATTTGTTCTGATTGTTGGATTAACAAACATTTGTAATCCCTTCAGATTACAAGTTTTCCCTCTTAACAAAATGTGATTGGATGTTTGAAGGTAACATTTCTATGAGCCTTAAACATAACCTGTATTGTTTTCTTTCTTTTACTAAATAT